TCTTATACCTTGTTCAAGTAGAGATACTTATTAATTTGCTACAACTATTAGTTTCTTGCATACAAAATATATAAGTACATAAAACTTTATAATCTATAGCTAATTATTATAAAATTTATAAATTAAGATAAGTATTTAAAAATTGAATTTTGTTAAGTTAATTAATTTTACTAACTATTTATTAAAAAAACCAATTTTTTTTTACTAATATTTTTTTGCAAATAACAAATTCATATTTTGCCAAACTAATAGAAAAATAATTTATAAAAACAAGTTGCAAAAAAGTTAAAAGAATCAGTATACTAATATAAGAATAATCTGTTAGTCACATCAGCAAGACTGGGAGGTCTAGGGCATTTGTGTGACATAATGTTATATGAAGAGATGCAAACCAATTATAGGGCAGTGCAAATACAAGATAAGCCCCAGGTTGTATAAATTCAGAGAACTGCAAATACAGAAGCCTGCTTAGCAAGTTTTAAGTAGAGAGGTAGTACAGATTTTTGACAAAGCTACTGTAAAGGTTAGACCCAAAAAATAGAACCCAGGTAAACTGAACCAGACAGAATACAGGGTGTTAGGGTTGCGTTCACACCAACCAGGCCGCTGCAATAAAAAAAAGGATCTAGAAACTGAGATGAAGAAGCTGCAATACATGTGGCTTAGCAGTAAGGTGAAAGGTCCACAAGGTTCAGAGTACCTGTCTAGGGCAGAGAAAAAGTACACAGTTACCAGGCCATCTAGATTGGAAGTTTGAGAACTAGGGTTGGGGCCTCTGCTATTGGAAAGATAGTCAAGCCAATAACAACTAGGCCACCATCAAACTCAGAAGAAAATAAGTAACACATACTAGGCTATCTGGATTAGAAGTCTGGATAAAAGGAACAGGGTTACTAAAGTACTGAGGATATACTGTAAAATAAGTTCTGGGGTTTGAGTGAACTCTACAAGGGTAGAAGTAGGTTTGGGTAGTAAAGTTTAGCCAAAAACTGGTATTAAATCATAGAAAGAAAGCAGAAGAAAGTTTAAGCTGAGGAATCAACTGTAGGCAAGGACCTTGACCTAGCACCACATACTCCCAGAATAGGACAAAACTAAGCTGCAAGTAGTAGGCTTCGGTCTATGTATATCAAACTGAAGCACAGGCTAGGTGTGATATAAAGTGAGAATACTGCGGGCTCTGCTAGATTTATTTCAAGGATAAAGTAGTCCTAAGTCAGCATGTAAAATGATGTGCCTGTGTGACTGGTTCTTAGAACTGGAAGAAGAGTACTAGTTGTCATAGGCCTCAGAGTACATAGGCACAGAGGGTTTAAATAGGTAATCCCTAGTTGGGTTGCAGATATAGCAAATAGTGTAGAACCTAGTAATAGGCAGACTACTTAAATAGGTGCAGGTATAACTAAATGTACTCTCCAAATATGTATAATGATGTTCAAAAACAATAAAAGCACAGTGTGACCAAGAGGTCACCTTAAAACCAAAAAAAATAAAAATAAAAATAATCTGTTAGTAAAAAATAAATTTATCATCTGTTATGAAACCTTTAATTATATTTTGTATAGAGTTAACCGTCTATAAAAATCTATCATTATGATAGATTTTTTATAGATGGTAACTCTATACAAAATATAATTAAAAGTCCAATAAAAAGTTTTTTTAATAATGCTCATATCAGACTTATTATAATTGCTATTTAAAATTATATAATTATCTACTATTTAATATAACCAATATTTCAATTATACAACCAATATTTTAATTATACAAAACAATATATTACAATAAAAGTAATCTAGCAAAACAAATACAAAATTAATACAAAATTTTTATATAAAGTATTTAATATCTTTTAATATTTTTAATAAAAGCTATCTATTTATCATTAAAAAATAATTTTTTGAAAAATACAAAATTATTACAGTATTATGCTTATAACATGAAATACATTTTACAAATTAAAACCAAATCTAATTAACAGTATAACATATATAGTCAGACCTCTCTAAATGCATATCTGAGGGTGACCAAAAAATCTTGCATTTAGAGAGGTATTACATTTAGGAGGTAAAAATCTATTAAGTATTATATGAGTTGGGACCAAATAAGGCCATGCATTTAGAGAGGTCTTTCATAGACTATGCATTTAGGGAATATGCATTTAGGGAGGTCTGACTGTATTTAAATTGAAAATACGTTTAGGACTGATCGCATGAACTGATTGGATAATTGAATATGCGACAATTTCCTCTACAACCTACTACTAAAAAATCAAAAACTAATATTAATAATCTTTATTTAAACGAGCTTTGAAATTATTGGTTTTTTTTTAATTTTATTGTTTTATTTTTAATTTTTTTATTTTTTTTTCTCGAAAGACGATTTATTAATTTTCGTACCGGTGCAGTATTAATCAGCCAATCACTATCAAACTAATCAACCAATCAAATTCAAGAATTTGCGAACAGACGAATCTACTTTCCCAACAATTAAGTCCTGTAATAATAATAACAAATAATAACTAATAATAATAATAACTAATAATAATAATAATAATAACTAATAATAACTAATAACTAACTAACTGATAACTATTTAATAAAAACCAAATTCAGGCTTCACTTAATTTTTTTTTAAAAAATATGTATACAAAAAAATTTAAACTTTAGTTAAATTAAAAAAAATTGCACAAATTAAATAAAATTTGTACTGTATAGGCGAATGTAAAGTCACCAATTTTAAGTACTTAAGAATCAAAAATTTGTTATTAAGAACGATAACACTAAACTTTTCCTACAGTACCGGACAGAAAAAAACATCCACTATTTATATACAAATTATAAAAATGATGGCTCAAAAAACAATTTTTTTTGTCAATTCTGTTAGAATAGATTTTTATTTTTTCTATAAAAGCTAGTTTAGTTTAAAAGTTTATATATACCTAAAATTTGGGCCCAATATACAGTGCAACCTCAATATAATGAAGCTCTGAAGCTGGATGTTTTTCTTCGTTATATCTAAATTTCTTATAGACTCGTTATACAATTAGTATTCTTTATATCGAGGTTCGTCATATCGAAGTTAGACTGTATAAATAAAAATTGTTTTTGGCCAATCAGAATTGGTTATATACAAATTAACCAATAATAATTGATTACATAATTCTCGAGTTTGATACGGTCATCAACCGACATTACTGTATGTCAACAAATAGCCTACTATAAAAGACCTAAAGGCTAAATTAATTGTTCTTTTCACGTATCAAAACACGTGCTTTGCTTAACACTTGATGACGCGAATCATTTTTGACCATTATCACGGGAAAATAGCACAATACCACCTTATTATTATTTATTATATTCTTATTCCATACACCACTAATCATATCAGAATTTATATGATCACCGAATTCAAACCATTTAATTTCTGGCATTGACTCTTGCGCCATTAAACAGAACCAAAGCTTGAAAATAGAGCGGATTAAATCCGCTGCATTTAATCTTAAATCTTCTTCTCTTGTCTTATCCGATACTCTACGATATTTATTCATCTCGTCAATGAGCCACTTGGTAAGTACTTCTATATAAGGATGGTTAGGTTTGGCGAAACCTTGAGATGCTAATACAGCATAGCTTTGTTGACGTACTTTAATTGGAGCTACATTAGAGATGCGATCTTTATCACTATTTGTGGGAAGTTCAGTCATGTGTCTGATCAGTTCGTCAGTACTTGACACTATTTTAGATTCATGATATTGTGAGTATTGAGAAAAGTTTTTGGCTTCATCAAAAATATTCTCAAGAACAAATCGCTGGAGAATAGTGCTTAACAATGATTTTTTTTCTTTATCATTAGGGTTGTCATTTTTGTACCGCTTAAACAACCTTTCCGCACCATATTCTATTTGATCTGTATCATCAACATCAGTAAATCCTTGGACTTCGTTCTGTAAGTTGATAATATTTCTTCTAATTTGTTCAAAGTTATACTGCGTGTCGTCGCCCCAACGGACATTTGTCGCATCTCCAAGGGCAGCCTGTAAATGAGAGGCTTTATTATCTGATTCAATTAATTTATTCTTTAATTCATCAATTTTTTCAGTTAATTGCTTATTTTTCTGCTCTAACGATTCAATTTCAGTTGACTTTTGATTTATCAAATAATTAAGATTGTCAGCGTTGTTTTTGAGTGTCTTGAGAACACTAATATTTTCGGCTTTTAAACCACTAATTTCTTTAAGAGCATTGTGCCATTTATCATTTAGTTCCATAAAATAGGTGTTAGTAATGCAGTGGCATGCTTTCGCATTTAAAACTGACATACCAATGGTTGTACGTATGAAAGCAACATGGGCTTGAATGCTTTGATGCATCATTATTCTTAAAACAGAACGTTGTTCAGTTGATAACTTCCCTATATTTTCACGACAAAAATTTGACTCCTCATTTGGACCTAACATCTCATAAATTTCATCTAATAGCTGTGTCCGCAAAGTTTCATCTTCTTTTATTCCTTGGAACTTTTTATATAGCATACGAACTTTGGCAACATGCTCATTAAACGTATAAGTTATAATTTCATAATATTCACCCGCTATTTCTCCTTTACAAATGTCGATATATTGCTGTTCCGGATCACATTTTTGCTCTTCTATTGCTAAGATCATCCATTTCAATAAAGCATTTAGCCAATTTCCACTTTCATTGCTGTACCATTTAAATAATTTAAAATGAATTGAATATTTTTCAGGATTAGCAGTCAAACTTAATTCACCACTCATGATTGGTAACGTTGATGAAAAACTGAAACTATTTAGAACCAATTTTTTATAATGATTATGTTTGTATGCTAATGAATCGAAGGCAAAGTTTATATACAGAAGATTAATAACATTTATACATTTTATATAATTTTACTTTTTTAATGTTCTGCATTTTTTTTCGCATATTATCTGGTATTACAACGTAAAAATTTGGGTTTTTATTAGCTACCATATGATGCATATTAAACCATTACATTTTAACATTTTTATTTGAGTAAATTGATTTTTTTGCAAGTTGCCGTATTAAATCATTGCATCTTCTGCAAGTAACCGCTCGATATGTACGTAAGTATCGAGTCAGATTTTATCTCAAATAATCTATCATCCGAACAAGTGACAGGTTCAATTACGATAAGGATCGCCTAGTCGATCAGAACAAACGTTCGTTTTGAAAAAGTTTTTTATTGCTCAATAGTTTGCCTAAGAAACCGCCATTCGTGCTCTAACAAAAAGTTTTTCTTGGGAAATACTACTATTAAAATTTCTAAACCTTAACTTTAATATAAACGCTAACCCTAACACAAACGAACTTTTAAAAACTTTTGCAACTATCACTTGACTGTAAAATTATCTGGGATGATGGGTTACACTCGCTGCGCGATCGATCGAATGAGGTAATTAGGTAACTGGTATGTAATGTGATCATAGTATCTTAGTAGGCAAGTATGTGCCGACTTTCGTTCTGGCCGTATCGATCCCTTCTCCTGCTCGGAAGTAAAGCGGTACTTAGGTTCGCTGTCAAAATCCCGAAAATCAAAATCCCGAAACCTAATTGTCACGTCATGTGGTGTCGGACTTCCAATATTCAAACTCCACTTTTGATTAGTAAACATGCTTAATAATCAAAAGCGGAGTTTGAATATCGGAAGTCCGGCACCACACTACGTGACAATTAGGTTTCGGGATTTTGACACAGAACCACTTAATAGTACTAGCCTGCCGGGACGGCAGCCATGATAAAAGAAAAAACTTATTGAGTTGCAAGAATTGTTGAAATTGTGGCCTATTGAGATGATGACCATGTCGGAAAAGATGGCTTGTCTGAACGACGGCCAATGTGAAATATACTCATACAAAATAAAAAAGGGTAGTCAGCAGATACTCAAAGATTGTGCGGGTTGCTCAATAATAGAAGTGGTAAACCCATATATATTCTTCATTAATACCAAAAATGAGTGACGAAACAATATGAGTGATAAACAAACAGCGATAGTACCGTGCGAGAGATCTAAAAACTACAATCACTCCCTACAGAGAGAAAGTGTAAATAGCAAATATATCCTAAATTGACAACTTCAATAAAGTATACATTAGAAATCCACCATTTTTTAAGATATTACGTATTACAATATTGCTCTAATATAATATTATAATAATATCTTTATACTACTTAAACTTTTTTATATTTATATTATAAATATATCTTATAATTGTATCAATGTCTAAACAATATTGAAACTATATCAAGACTAATATCGGACTACCCTTTCTCGTATTAATATTTTAAAAAATAAGTTTCTGGATTGTACCACCTGAAAATAACATGCATTGCGACCATTACCCATATTCAAATTTCCTTATTTGGGTGATCTACATAATTAACCAATCAAATTGGGTGATCTATATAAACTAACCAATCAAATCGTAAAATTTTTACGAAGCAAACAAAATAAAATACAAGAAATGAGTGTCTAAACCTCTCTTGAGGCATTAACAAAAAATGTCGGGAGCACAATTTTACCTAAAATTCTTGCTTAATCGTTAACCTCTGAACAACTCTAACCCTAATTTTAATTGCCTCGTTTTAGCATTCTTCCGAATAAGGAAATTTGAAAAATGGGTCGGTAAAATTGAACATACATTGCCTAGAAGTGCTCACATGTGCACATTCTGCAGGTACGTACGTACGTACGTACGCTTTGAGCACAAAATATGCCCATGGGTTTATTTAGAATAATGGCCAGAATTAAGCTTAGTTTAGGAAATTAAGCTTATTTTAGGCCAGAATTCTGAATTGCGCTCTGAACGTGAAAGTTCAATGGCGTGGGAAGATCAAGTGTGACCACAGATAATTCATGTTACTGACACATGTTAGGCGTAAAGAATCCTGCAACAGAAGGCACTAGAATGGGAATGTGAGTATAGAATTAGGAGAAAGAAACGGATTTGAACCAATTTTTGCGCCCAACCCGCTCTAGGGTTAGCTCTAGGGAGGGAAATACGTGATTTTAGATTCTTCGTTCACAGGAAAACCACCGGCTGCTTCTGCGACTGTTCCCAGTGCAATCACGAGTATTACTTTTGTGGGTTCTGGCCCAACTCAGTCAATTACTCGCTTCTCTATCATGTATTTTGCCAAATTTTCAATAAAAAGCTCTATCAGTCAGATCATCGGCCGACATAGGCCAAATAAGCATAATAATACCTACGTACCTGCATAATGCGCATGATGAGTCATTTCTAAGCCATGCATATTATTTTCAGGTACAATTATATATACGTACTTATTTTATTGACTTGATATGTTTATACTTTGTTTCTATAAGGAGTGATTGTGGGTTTGGATTTCTTGCACGTACTTTTTCATTGAAAATTGAATAAGCACATATCGTGTAAATTGCATATTTATTGTGAGCGAAGCTTTTAATACTAAGAATTCTTTTTTTAACGGATTAATTGGTTCTAGAAACATAAAAGACCATGGAGAACGAGATTTCAAGTCCTCGCGTAGTAGTTGCTATTGGTAA